CAGCAACTGCGTAGCGAATTAGCCACGCGTAACTCGTGTCTATCGGTTGGTTGCGGCTCGCTGGTTGACCATAAAGCGTGACATTGCCGAGACCATCATCGGGCTTGTCTCCCAGATCTCGGCAACTCGACTTTTTTACGTGACCCTTGTGCTAAAATCAGTTCGGCCCAGGTCTCGAGGCCAGGCTACGGGAGAACATTCATAAAAAGGGCTTTTTTCATCTCGTCGAACAGGTGTCTCTAGGAGACCCACGATTTGGGGCACTTTCGGCCGGATCGCGTAAACAAGGCCGCATGAAAATGTATGTTTTTGCCGCCAGCATTGCCATTGCCCCCTTAGCCTTTACGTTGGCGGTGAAAACTGGTCATTTTGTTGAATTTCCCAAGTCTCCAAACCTCCGAGACCGGGTCACGAAATGGGTGCGAGACCAGTTGGTCCCGGGTGCCCGTGGTGCCCGTGGTGCCAGACCCACCTGCGTGGCCCAGTCAAGATTCAACCAGATCATCTGTCGACGGTTGCGTGGTGGCCCGGTTGGGTTAATGTTGAACGGCCAAATGGCCGACATCCCTTTTGCATTGCCCCCACCGAGCTGGCTTTCTACAGCTTTGTCATTCTCCTGCACTCAGCCTCCGGTAGGCTACGGCAGCGGGCATCTGTTGACATTGGGCCAGATGTACCAATTAATGCTAATGTCAAAACCAGTCGACAATAACGCAGACCGGGTGCATTTGATTTTGGAATGCGCTGCTGCCATGCCCCCCGAACCTGGTTCGGCCACCAGATGTTAGTCCGGGTTACAAGTTGCGGGGTGATTGTGTACCTCCGTCGGGTAGCAAAGCTGGCCTGCCGACAGACTGCATGTGCCACAATGAGACGGAGGACAGCTTGCTTCATTCGTACCAACTCTGGCATCATATCGCCATGACACTATCTCTTTCTCTCGAGGCACAAACCAGTTAACTCGAAATGGCACAGCGTGCACAGTCCTGCGTCTATTGATACAGATTCACTGCCATAACTATGGATAAAATTTCCCAAGCCTATTCGACGAAAATAACTGGCCTGGTCGGCCCTGAGTGCATTTGGCGTCGCTGAGGGCTACAGTTGGATAGTTCAAAAACCATCTTAGCTACCGTGACGCGTAATCGCATTACAGATTGGCGAGGTTGGCTACGACTACATTTTACTTCGTAGAATAGGTAAAATACGTAAATTACCATTCCTGTTTACACTTTGTCTCCTTTTTCGCAAAGATGTTTCCCTTAATGGCGATATGGCAATATAATCACTATTTGAACCTTCGGTATACCGAAATCTCTGTTGCGCTGGCACGTACAGAAAATCTCCCTATTTCGCGACTGTAGCGTTCATTCATATTTATTGGAAAAATTCAACTAGCACCTTAAACGAATTAGCGTATACACTTATTGTATAAGTTGTATTCTCGATAAGCAGTAGCAAACAACATACGTCGGAGAATATCATATGGGTAACGTAATGTCCTAGTCCTTAAACCTATGAATATGAAGTATTTTTATTCCAATCTTCATCCACTCATCCACAACATGTCATTTATGGCCAAACTACTTCACCCACTTAATATTTCTTACTTCCCCTAAGCGTTGTTCTGGATTGGAAGTTACGCTTACAAGTGGATGCGACTGACTGAACAACTGTTTTCCTATATTTAGATCCTGCAATCGTGACATTTATTTGTCCTCTTAAGTGCGTTCCACATTTAGCCAGACTCAAGCCTACTCTTTGACTTGGTGTTGTGAAAGTCCAGCATTAGCCTTTTCTGGCCATTCCGTGCTGGTAATCACACATTAGCCGCAGTACGAAGAATAATCTTCACATTTGCTGCGCCCAAGAATGAGCTGAGGTCAATTCACCGTTTTTACTCGAACCTTTATACTACTATCTATTCAACATTGCCTTATCGACATTCCAGCCGAATGACAACAGACCTAACGTCAAATTTACGTTTGCTCAATTGGCCCCGGCCATCTTTGCCATTTTCTTTCATCTATTAATAGTCTCCTTTTATACCCAAGTTAAGCCCTTCCAAAATATCTACACTATCAAAAGCCGCTATAAAAATTTAATGTATTCATTATTGTTACATCCAGTTGCCGATGCCCATTTTAATCCATTTTCTCAACCGAATCATCTTCTGCTAGCCAGAGCTTAGCTCGTCTCTGCCGGGTATTTATGAGAATAACTTTATTCTGAATAAAGTTTAATAAAAACCCCATTTATATATAACTATTGCTTTGGGTAGATCATCGATGCGTTCAACCGAGTTGAATTATTATCCTTTCTCAGTCGTGCTTTCCAAAACTTATTCAACTGCGATATCAATAACCACGGCGGGACTCGAACTATGCACCATTTCCATACGCTACCCGCTAGACAAAACCTCCACGAGTGCTTTTGCGTCACAGGGCAGATACCAATAGGAAGTAAGGCTGGGTTTGTCGATGAAACAAAGATATTTACAATGGCAATCGACTGCATTTCTTATTTTACATTTGTAAGTAGGCTTTCGAGAGCAGATTTGTTTGTGATGAAGGACTGGCAGTTTAATTTTCACAATCATGTGATTAAATCTAGCGCTTTATTGAATTTCTCATGCGTACCCAATGACACTCGTGGCAACCTATCTTCGCAAACGTTAAAAAAATGCACTTTCATTTTTCGACTCCTGGCGGTGTTGGTAAGATCTAGGTGAGATCTTTTCACAAATCTACCTATTTTGGGAAGAAAGGCTATGCGAAATCGAGTTGAAACGTAAGTTTACTCATTTGTGGAGAAATTCAACTACCAGTTCTTCATCACCTTGTATTCACCCAATTTCGTTTAAGGTGATGAAGGACTGGTAGAAGTAAAATTTTCCCACAAATGAGCTGACGTTTTCATTGAATTTTTACATAGCTTTGCCTTCCCAAAACTTGTTTCTCATCCAGGCACCAGTGGACTGCAGTTTCGACCTCGCATCGGTCTTATCAACACCCTCAGCGGGAGTCGAACCACGACAATAAAAATGTTAATTTTCAAGGAAGCCCCGCCTTTTTGCCATATCATATGCTTTTTGTGGAATTTTCGATGAAACAAACGTATCTACTAGTATACTTTATTTTTTCGAATAAAGTATTGTTTTTCCTGACTACCACTAAATCTAGTATTCCTTATGATTGTTCTTCATCTTTTGTGACCGTCACTCTGAACTTTGAAGGGTAATTTATATTTTATTCTGCAGCTCTAACATGCCATAGTTTTGTGTAAGTCAACTCAAACACATCAACATAGTATGGATAACTGAGGGTGATTATGTCGCCTTAGGCAGTGCTGTATATGCAGATAGGCTCTTTGATCCGGAGGACATTTGACGTTGACATTTTCACTCGGCTTATTTCACACACATCAGCCTACATCCGGAATTTAACCATTTTCAAATGTCTTCCAGACGAGTTATATTTCTTACCGGAAGTGTATTTTCAGCTTATTTTTGTTAGTCGGCGGCATAAACATTCATTCAGCCTTTGGGTGAATGTGAAAAAAACACAAAGCCAAATGAACAGCATATTCAGGATTGATTTACAGGCTGGCTTACAGACCCAAACAACCCTGTCGCTTAATCAGTTTTTCCCATTGGCAACGGTTCGTCTTAAACCATTATTCATGTAGCTCTTCCATTTTAGGTCCCCTTCGTGCCGAAACTTCACTTTTCAGTCTGATCTCTCATGTCGATGTTGGTCCCCTCACCAAACCCGATCCTCCCACCCGTTGCCACACATGATTAATTCATGTCTCTGTCTCAGACTCGTGGGCTGCAACCAGTTAATGAACTACCCCTTATCTCTTGGCTGCTTTTAGAGATCTTCACGTGTCATAGCGCCTGCTCATTTTGGCCTGCCTCCCTCTCATAGTTTGACAAAACACTCGTCGGTGCTTATACACTCTGCGTCGTTGCGCACAACACCGGCTCAAACGGCCTACCTACTAACACACAAGAGGGCAGATAGATGGGTAGGCATACCAACACGACTATGCAGACGTATCAGCAATACATGCATAGACAATCAAGCTTGCCGACATTCTGGCGTTTGGTCCAGGAAATGGTAATTCTGACTCTAAACAGCCGAAAATGTTCGACTAAGCTCTCCACATTAAGTTAATTAAACACTAGTCACCTTTGATCCGGTGTCCAGGCGTGTACATCGGCCTAGTTCCGTCTCAGTGACTCACTACCAGATTGGATGTACAGGGCAATCTTATGACTCAGCTGGTGGCCAAATGAAGAACATGTTACGGACCTTTCTATGTCTTAAATTCTCCAACCCTCACAGCCTGTTGTTCCAATCCTCAGGCCTCGATTCTCAGACCAATAAAAACTAGCTAAGTGTGTGTGTCTGTCTGTGTTGGTGTGTTTAAGTTAGAATGAACCTTGGAGACGATTGATGTCGGAGGATATCTCGAGCTTTCAGACCAAACAACGGACGCTTGTGAAGCTGAGACACAGCAACCAAATCATGGACGTGTGTGTTTTCTCCTATGCTAGCTTAATTAGATGTGGATACAACAAGTCTAATTTGCATACCTAATCCATGGGGCATTGCATTGACGAACTTGATACGACATGGCACTTGTAAACATTCATTTACAGACTTGCTTTTGTCTTCCACTTTAGAGACGTTGATCAAACTAATCCGCTCTTTCTTAAGCTTTAAATGCAGTCCCGAATGTCTCTGAACTCTCTGTACGCTGAAGGACCAATCGCCAACTCCATCATTATTTTAATATTATTTTAAATCTTATTATTCATGCCTGACATCTCCGCATAGCTCAGCTCCTGAATAGCGTCAGAATCACAGCCTCTTACTGTCGGATATCTTCTAACCGACTATTTCACTGTATCTTAGTGGCTGGATCAAGTGAGAGTTAGATTTCCGTTGAAAGTGTTGAAGCGATCAAGATTATGTTGAAACAGGAGGTTTCGAGACGCAATACCGAGTGGAAATCACATGCATCGTTATGCCCAACAATTTCCTCGTGGGAAAATCCAACTGTGACATGAGCTATTGCTACCTGCCAAATCAGTTTAATATGATATGCTGTTTTTTATGCGACTTCAACTGAGACACAAGTGAACAGCCTCAATCGGTCACCCATGCGTTGATATTAAGCTTGGCCAACTTAACCTCAATCTAGTTGTTGCCAAGATGCCTTTTATAAACGATGCTGTGACAACAACCCCCGATCGGTTAGTGCACGATCCCGTCCAATTAACCAGAACTAGACACCATTACCCATCGTAAGTTTATATTTAGTATGAAGCTTATACGGCAATTTATCTGCTCAAGTATCTTCGCCTACGTCTTGATTGGCTTTATTGCCTTAAGTCACACTCCCGGTCATAGCAGTTTGCACTGTATCCAACGCTGTTCTTTATGCAAAAAGCAAGTCTCACATTCATTTGACCCCTGACCTATTGAAAAAACTTTCTGGGCAAGAGTGTCAGCCCTGTTAACAATGAGTTCACAGCTTGCTTCGTCGTTACCTTTCCCTAAATGGGTCCTTCTAGGTCGAGTCCATCGTGTGCGCACATGGTGTGGTAACCATGTGACTATTTAAATGACTTTCTCTGGCTATTTACAGCTTTTAGAGGAGGATCTGCTGCGCTGTTCTAGCGTTGACAAACTATCTTTTCTCGTTCGAGGCATGTGAAAATGTTGGAATACCTGCATACACATTAAGGATTAATGGAAGCTTGCAGACGATGTCCTCT